GCTGTTTTGGACGGTTGTTTTGTCTGCCTCTTGCTTGTACGCATATCGGACACCAACTCCTGTAAGGGAGGCGTGTGACATTGTGCTCCAAAATCTCCTGTGGTGTAGGTTGCTTGGGTGCCTGTGCTGCTTTTGCTCTTGTGCCTTGTTGTTGTTCTTCATCATCTGACTCGAGCTATGTTGGGAACTCCCGATGTTCCTCAAAGTTTGTCCAGCCTGTCCAAGGCTTGTCTGATGTCTTCGCTGGCTGTGTTGCCCATTCATCTTCTATCAACCTGGTGTGTTGTCTTTCTCCTCCAACTGGTTGTACCTTGGTCTGTCTCCAAGGTATGAGTCGTTTGATGTCTGGCCCGTCGTGTGTCTGCTCTGGCATGTAAAACGCTGTTCTAGGCTCAACATGTACTCTCTTCCAGTATGGGCCTTCTCTGTACCAGTAGTCTCCTCCACGGTGTACTTCTGAAGGATGTGGAAGTCCTTGTCCAGCTGCGCCTTTAGTGGTGTGTGGCGCAGATGTGTCCTGAAATGTTGGTGGTGTTGTTTTTTTCCTCAGCCGTGTGCGCGGTCTGTACTGAATCACTTGTGGTGTCACCTTCTGTGGTGCACTTTTTGGCTGTGTCTTTGTCGCAAGCTGTTGCTGTATTGCCTCTGGCAATGTTGTGCCTTTTTTGATCCTGAATGTTGTTTCTCCTTTCCACATTTGCGGTTGTGCTCTGTTTGGCACTTCCATTGTTTGATACTTGTCTTCAAACGTGTTCGTTGTACCATCCTTGAGTCTGATGGTTGTTTTCCTGTAGTCCTCCAGTTGTTCTGCTGGGACTGGACACTGTGTTCTCGAAGGTGTGAAGAGTGTCTTTCTGTGTTGCCTGTGTACTCTTACAAGTTCACCTTGTGTATTGAACTGCCAGTAATCTCCTGCATAACCTGTGTCTGCAGGACCTTGTGGTGTCAATGTTGTGGTCGGTGCTATCGATTTCTGCTTGTAGGAAGAACAGGCCATTTCTGCTCTCCAGTGTGCTGTTAAATCCTTTGATGTGATGTAGCTTTGGATTGTCATCCAATGTAAGTTGGAAACCTTGTTCCACCAGCCTTGTAACTGAAAGAATCGGCTGTTTAACCTCACAAACATAAAATGGTGTGACAATTTGTTGTCCGCTGTGGTTTGTCATGCAAACCCATCTGTACCCATAAAGCTCGATGTGCTGGTTGGTCACTGTTCTGAGTTGTGGTCCTGTTCCATGCTCAAGTTGGTGTAGTGGAAAGTGTGGTGCAAACCATGGTGGGCATACATGTGTAGCCGCACCGCTGTCAATCATAAGACTGACCCACTTGTTGTCTTCTGAGTGTTGTTGCACTGTGCCAATCTTGGCAATTGTTACTTCTTGTAATCCTGAGATGGGTACTGCTAATGGATCCGCCATTTGTGGTGGTTGTGGTAATGCTAGTTGTTGCATGTGTCTGGTCCTGGTGGTACCAGTTGTTGTCATAGTGTGACTGACTGTACCAGTCATCTGTCTGGTCATTGGTGTCTAAGTTGCCAGTATCGCAGTTGTAGATCGCCACTCTGCATTGTTTGGCCATGTGTCCTGGTTGTCCACATCTGTAGCAAACATTTGTTGCTTGCTTTCCTTTTGATCCTTTTCCTCCTTGTTGGTTGCTGTAGTATCCTTTTCCTTTTCCTTTGTTGTTGTTGTATCCTTTTCCTTTGGAATATCCTTGTTGTCATTTGAAAGGATTTCCTTGTCCAACCGGTTGTTGATTGTACTTACCTTTTCCTCCTTTGTAGTTGTTGTAGCCGAAGTTGTTGCCGTAGCCGCCGTAGCCTTTGCCTTTGTTGTGGTTTCCTTTGCCTTTGTGCTTGCCCTTCTTTCCTTTTCCTTTGTTGTACCATGTTGCTCCTATGTCCATTGGTGCCGGTCCTTGATCGTTGTTGCTGCCTGATGTGATTGACTGTAGTCTGGTGAATGACGCTGTTGCTCTGTAGTACTCGATCACCATCGATCTGATCTGTGCGTATGTTGTGATGTTTCCTGCTTGTTGCTGTAAATGCTGCTGTAGTGGTCCTTTTGTTTCATTCAGTAGCACTGCGATTTTAACTGCATCTGGTAGTAGTGTATTGTTGTCTTGTTCGTACCTTGAGAGTTGGAACTCCCATGTTGTAAAGCTCTCTTCGAACTTCTGTTCATCGAGTTGTGGTTTGAGCAGCTTTGTAAGGTATCCAATGCTCCTTGTACCAAGAGGTATGGAGTACCTTGCATGTGTAAGCCGCCATGTTTCGAATCCGTTGCCTTGCATGTTTTGTCTGCAGAATGTAGATGCTGGTCCATCGCACGTGCTCACTAGGATGTAGTGCAAGTTGTTGCTCAGTTGTATCCATTGCTCTGCAACTTGTTGTGAAGGTGCTGCGTTCTCAAGTTGGTCATTTGTAACTGATCCTGTTGATTGCTCTGACTGTCTAAGCAGTCTGTTGTAGTCTGGATCTTGTAGTCCCAGGTATGCTATCATCTTGTACTTCCATTCGTCGAAAGTGTTGTATTCGCCATTGAAGCGTGGTGGTGATATCTTGTATTTGTGGATTCCTTCCAGCTGCTGCTGTTGTGGTTGTTGTTGTTGTGCCATGTTACTCACTACTATGCACCTCAACCTGTGAGTGCGTGTTGGAGCTCACCCTGGGTTGTGTAGTAGGATCGTGTACCAGGGATCACTGCTCCGCTGCCATGTTAAAGTTGGATTGACAGTGTAAACACCTGATGACCTGTGTGTGACAGGACGGCACTTGTTGTACTCGGGCGCAAGAAGTGTCTCTAATGTATACAGGCTCAAGGCCTTGATCATGTAAAGGTGCAAGGGAATGTACAAGGGTGGATGTATCTTAACACACAAACAGAAATATATATATATATATTTATTTATATAAATACACACACAAACACACAAACGCACAAACACACCAACACACCAACACACCAACACACCAACACACCAACACACCAACGCACCAACGCACCAACACACCAACACACCAACACACCAACACACCAACACACCAACACACCAACACACCAACGCACCAACGCACCAACGCACCAACACACCAACGCACCAACGCACCAACACACCAACACACCAACGCACC